CAAATTGGTCAGGCAGGATTTCCCCTTAGTGAAACCATGCTGGCTGTCACCAACCACCTCGTTGTTTTTCATGTGCCTCAGCATTCTTTCCAGGAGAATCTGCTCCAAGATTTTGCCAGGCACAGAGGTGAGACTGACTGGTCTGTAGTTCCCTGGGTCTTCCACCTTCCCCTTCTTGAAAATGGGGGTTACATTTCCCTTATTCCAATCATCTGGAACTTCACCTGACTGCCATGACCTATCAAATATTATGGACAGCGGCCAAGTAACTTCATTCGCCAGCTCCTTCAGGACCCGTGGATGGATTTCATCAGGAAATCATCCATCGAGTCAAGTGAAGATTGTGAAGATCCAGTGGCCCAGTCCATTCCAGAGGATTTTCTGCAAGTGGAACCATCAAGACACAGGAATTTAAAACCAGATAGGCATGATGAATCACTTGCGTTTTTCTTGGCAAAGATTACATAGGTTTATGCTGGTATCAGACATTCACTTTGCTGCAAAAACACACAGTAGCTTAGTCCAACATTGAAAGAAATATTATCCACAAAAACTATATTCTAACAGAGTGCTTACATTCATTTGATCATTTATAGGACAGAGCAGCTGAGCTGCTTATTCTCTGAAGTTATCTTATATACAACTACATTTTTAATTAGTGCAGTCATGATGCTCACAGCCATTATGAAGAGCTTTTTGGGCTTGCACACAGTGGGCCTTTTAGCTTTGAATCATCACTGAGATGATTCTGCACTGACAGAAAGGCCTCTGCTCCACTTACTCAGAAGGCTGTTATGGATAATGCATTGCCCCACCGATGTCCTAAGTTGTTTTCCCAATGTGTTGTCTTGCAGGAATGAGCCATGTGCAACTGAACCAGGAATTCTGCAGTAGTGCTTTGGATTCAGACACTGTTTTTTTAAGTTTTGGAAAATTAATTTGAGCTGTTGGTCCTGTTCTTCAGGTGATGACATGAAAATAATATTCCAAGCACTGCAGAAACTGCTTAGGTTTATGATGCTTCTAACATATAAAGGGGAAGCAGGAAGGCAAAGCACTGATACTGTTTCCTATGAAGACACAGGTAGGATTGTTATCTCCTCTCCCCAAGAGCTAGAAAAGCTCTAAGTGGCTCTGGCTGAGGGTATGCATTATCCTGTGCAGCACAGTCATAGAGGCTGAATCACAACACCTGCAGCTCTTTAATCATGCATAAAAATTGCATGTATATTGAGTGCTGGTAGGTCAGCTGGAGCAGACTCTTGCAAACTCTTGTGGTTTTACCAGAGGAGAAGAATTTTAATCACTTGCCCCCGGACGTGTGCATTCTCTTTATGTATCATTGCACAGAAAAGCTTTTTGTGCATATTTTAAAGTGCATTGTACTACAGTTTTCAATTATAGACAAAAAGATTGGTTTTTTTTAATAAATCTTTGAGATACATACATGTTTGTACAAATAAATACATATATGTATAAACAAACATATAGATAGAAACACACACATCTACACGTATATGTTCCCATAAATATCTATTGGCTCCTGCTCAATAGGTCTAACAAACTAAAAGTCTAAATTTGAACATGTATACACATGTATAAACATACAGAGGGAAAGTGGTACTATTGTTTTTTTGTTTGCTTACTTCTATCAATAAAGTGTGAAATTAATTTGTTGAAGGAAATTTTATGATCTCTTAAATTTAGTATTAAGTATAGGCAGGGGCTTCTAAATTTTTAGAATAGAATTTTTATAACAAATTCATAAGAATTACAGTCTTGACAGGTAGCAAATCATTAACTGTGTCACATGGTTTTCGTATGATTTTAGTTTCGGTTTGTGTTATGACAGTAAGCCCTTTAACTTTTCTTGGAATACAAGTCTCGTAAAGGTATGAATGGGAAACCTGCAAATCTACAATTTTTTGAAGTGAAGAATCTCTATCCGTGGCCAGTATTAAGGTAAGTCTGCATTGTGTGTAGCATTTTAAATGTATTGAGAAAACTGAACGCCTTGCTAATCACATTTTATTGTTTCTGCTTTATCACAAAATGATTCTGTAGAAGTATGTTAGCTTTTAGAGCAGCCTTATATTTATGTTGACTGGCAAGCACATTACTTTTCTTGCTCTTGTCCTGTTAGTTCTCATATGTTTAATAAGACTGGGGACAATAACTGTGACTGATACAAGACACCCTCTCCTGTGGCACTTGATTGTTCCCCACCTGGTACCTGAGACCATGGTGCTCTTTGGAGTGCTGTCATGCATAAAATATAGGGAATATTAAGGTCTGAGTTCTTCAACAGAGATTTCATGTGCACTTGTGAGCAGGCATTTGTGCTTGGGCTTGGAATTAAGATACTGAACGTTTGGGAATTCAGATTTGTGAGTCTCTGATAGACTTTTTTTTTAGGTTACCATAAGCAAACATAAACCCTGTGTTTTACCACCTATACCAAGGCTCTTTCAAGACTAGATTCCTTATTCAAGGTAATTACAAGACTGTGAGCAAGCTGACACGCTTGATAATGTGTGGCTCCTTATTTATCTCAGCTTACCTGATGGCTTCATATATGACCAAGACATCCAGAGAGATTTGTAGACTGCTGGCACAGAAATCATGTGGCTCACAGCTACCCCGTATGCTGTTGTTTCAGAGGAATCTGGGCATAGCCTGTAAAACTTCCTATCTTATTAGGGATAATATAATAATAAGATAATTCCATTTTGTGATCAGATACAAAAGGATATGGAGGTTGTAAAGAGGAAGAAATCCAGTTACCTTATTAATTTCAGGTACAAAATTAGAGCCTACTCCTTGCCACTCAAATGTCTCGTACAGTATTACTCATTACATGTGAACCTTTGAATACTGCCTACTTCGTAAATTGCCTACCCAAAGAACATTGTGTTTGGATCCACTTATTGACTTAACTATTACTGCTGTTTTCCCTGCAGCAGTCAAATAATGAACCTGTTTTTGTTTTTTTTTAAATCTGTCCTAAAAACCACGTGTAATGTTCTTGCCACAAAAAAGGATACAAAAGTGGTACATTAGGCTGCAGAACGACATGATGTTCTTACACAGGGTAAATACGGTTTCCTTTAGAGTTTTCTTGAATGAACCCTAGTAGTAAACTCTCAAATTGGTTCTTACACAAGTTTTCTGATTATGAAATACTTGTAAACACAAAACCCAGCTTATGCTGGACGTTGCACCAAAGTTACTTCCCCAATCCTGACTGTGAATTGGATCTAAATTGCATTAACGATTTGAAAGAGATTAATGGTATTTTATTGGAGAGGCTAAGAAAGAACAGTAAAAGGATACCAGTTATCCCAGCTACCAGATCACCTGATCTTTCTGACCTCTTCTGGGCCAGGATATGAAACCTAAGTAGGACATAGAATAAGAGGCTAGAAATAGCTACGGCCTAGATAACAAAACAAAACAAAACAAAACAAAACAAAACAAAACAAAAAAGTTTAGACACTCAGCACCTTTTAAGGCTGTTGTGTTCCTACTTGTTTTCATTTGGAAATTAAAAGCTTAAGTTCTCTTTTTTTTGATTAATACCTGGGTCACAGCACAGACTAGCCCAGTCAACACAAGCAATGAATAATCATTACCTTTTTTCATGGGATGTTAACCAATTGTCTCATTTCATTCCTCTGTGGCAGTGTGCCTAAATTCACAGAAGTCTAAAGGCAACCTGCCTACACACACCCTTCCCCTGCCCTGAGTTCCCTGGTGCAGCTGTTCCTGTGTATTGTCTGCTGCTGTTTGACACTGGCACCAGCCCAAATTCTGTGCTTTGGCATGTCCTGGATCCCATCCTTTGGGATTGCTGCCAGCAGCTTTTTCCGAAGCTTTGCAAATGAAATAAGGGACTTCCTTGTTTTAATGCTTATAGCTTTGCAGAGATGGAAATGAATGAGACAAAGGATGTACTGCCTTACAGCTTTTCGGTCTCACCTGCCAAACACCATGGCTCTACAGAGGAAAGATATGTAAGGACTACTTAAAGAGGTCACAAGAACCCTTGCAATGTTGGGCAATGTAAAGGTAGTTCAAACTGTGAATTGATTCTTTTTGTAGTAGACACTGTGGTTAGGTCATTTCTGTCTAGCTACTACTCAGACAGGTTGGGAGACATTTCCCATAGAGATGTAGACTGGTGCAGCTCTGGCTCTTTACAAGTCTCTTTAATAGGAGAGCTTCAATCTTATTCAGCACTTTCATGCTGCGTATGGAAATAAAAAGCAGAAATGATGAAACCACTAGATGGATGCACACAAATGTGGTAACACAGGTGGAAATGACATAATGAAGTGTACTCTGATACAGTTGTGTGTACTCAAGACAGGAGTTTTCTCATTGTTTTGTGCTGTGCACACTAAGGGAGAAGAGCTCATAAGTTAAAGTTCTGGGAAGTAATCAATCTTTTTTTTTCATAAACTGGCTTTAAAAACTAGTAGAGGTAAGCTTGTTTCTTAGTATTTTGCAGCTACTAGGAATTATCTCAATGGTTGCTTGGTAAGCGGAGAGTCACTGTGATTGAGAGAGTGGGCGACCTCAGCAGGTTCAGAGGTGCAGCTCTTCTTGAGCCAATTGTTCACTGATATCTCAGTACATTTTGTAGTTGTTTATTTAAATGGATGTGAGAATTGCTCTAGGATACATTAAAAGAAAATACTGTTACTGCTGATCTTCCTTTTTTCTTCTTCTTCTTTTTAGGAACCAGTAATGAAGAATGACTCCACCAACTAAAAAGACAATTTACATGTATCTTTTCCAGAATAGACCTGTATCAGTGAAGTGAATTTAATACTGAAAACAAGAATACAGAAAAATGCATAACCCAACTTTCCTATGTAAAAAGCACTATTAGCGGGTGGTATCAGGAAAAAGACTCCATTTTAGGAAAGCATTTAGATTAATTCTGGTTTTCCTTTGCATGAAGTGACAAGAGGATGACAACAGTGACAGTCTAATGCATGATGAAATTTACTAAGCAGAATTTTATTTTTTTACTTGGTGGAATTATAATTTATGTAGTTGATATTGGAGTGGACTTCTGGGTAGCTAGTAAATATTTGTGTCAAGGACAATATTCTTGGAGTCTATTGATACTGTGTTTTAGAGGTCTTTCATTATTAGTAACTCAGATATTCAGTTATGAGTGGTTTAAAAATGACTGGGAAGGTACTGATACTGGGAAGCTGAAATGGATTTTCCTAGTTCATGTCTTTCAGTGTGGAATTTTTATAAGGTGAGCACATTTTAAAATCTATTTTAAAATGAGAAATCATGTTGCTTTAAGATAGTTTATTAAGAAATGCTTAATATGGCTTCAGGAACAAACCCTCATCTGGCCTTAACAATCATTGCTCCATGTAAGCAAATGGATTTTTTTCTGCTTATGCCGGAGGTAAATTATGTCAGGTTTTGAGAGAAACGTTGATCTTCTTTCATTTTACCTTTAATTAATAATTTTTATGATTCACAGCCTAACTCTGTTTGATTCATCAGCCTTTTGATAGAGCATATTTAACAGGAAAGCTTGCTTTACAGAGTAACACTTGTAACTGATAAATATAGTTTTAAAAGTAATGTTGAGAAGGGGGTTCATTTGATTACACTAAGCAGGTGATACAGCTGAAGTAAGAGGTAATTTTTGAATCTGAGAGTCTAACCATGTGTAGAAACCCCACCAAGATTTGTGAGAGAAATGAATAGTTGAAGAGTTAGTAAGAATACTTGCAGCAGTATTTCCCACAGGAACTGTGTTAATGGTGATGGGAACTTCTGTTTGCTGAAAGGCACATGTCCAGGAATAGTTTAAGATATCATATGCTTAACATTCTGTGGTGGCTTTGCTATGAAATTATCATTAAGCATTAGCATCACAGAGACAATTTTAAAACAGGTGAAAGATGTTGGTGAAAAGTAATGGATTTTAATTATTTTGGGTATGCAGCATGCAAGAAACATGAGTGAATCTAGATTTATTAGGGGCACTTAATAAAATACTTACTTAAGATGCCTGCTTTAACTTCCTATACTATTCTATGGGTAGTGATGAAAGATGTGTTTATGTCAGTGTAAAAATTCCCCATGTTTTATGCACTTGATGTTATAATGGATTAAAGAAAATGACAGATCTTTTAGGTGTCACAAGTAACTTTTAGCTTTCTATATTTTTTTCCTTTTATCTGTCAGTTTTATTTTCTTGCTCCTCCTACTCTTACAACCCTGAAGTTTTAGATTTCACAGAGGAGTTTTTGCTGATGGGATTAATTTTTCTGGTGTCAAGTATTAGAAAAATTTAGACATACTACATTTTGAAGAAAAAGAAAATCTCTCTTCAGTTTCTCTTGATGGTTTCTTATTCACTAACCAGATCAATGGACATGGGTTGGTTTCCGTGAGATATATAAAAACCTGGCTACGGGAACTCTCCCAGGTCCCACTTTTCAGAGGGTATGTCTTGGGGTCCACTGTGGTGCTCTCCTTTTTATATGTCCTCAAGGCTTTCATCTTCAGGTATGACTTGTGGCTTAGAAATCTGCCTTCTCTGAGTTTGCTTCTTCCAAAGGAAATTAAAGCCATGACTGCTTTTTGTGATAACTGATGATAAATGTTAAGCCAGTACCAATGGTGCAGAACGACAGAAGCTGCTCTTTCAATGGTCTGGCCAAAACTCCCTCTTCTTTCCTTTTCTCTTCCATGACCTCATCCTCCGTAACCTGTTCAGGATGGTAATTCTGGTTTCACCTTTGGCTTAGTTTCACACTCCCAGGTTGCCCCTATCTGATTAGTGCCTATCTCCAAGACACCATTCTATTTCACCTTTCAACAAAGACTTCCAGAATTCAGATCCAAACTCTGATGGTCTATAACTCTAGATACTGTAATCTTGACTCAGTGCTTGTATCTATTCAAAATGCTGCTTTTATGGGCAAAACTTAATGATTTAGCTTAAAACTGAAGAAGTACACTAAAGTAATAAACTGTTGACTCATACCCTTTCAAATTATTACCTCTTACCATGAATTTCTATGATTTTTGAAGTTTCCTTGCCGGAATTAGCCCCATCTTCTCTGAGTGGCTTGTTATCTAGTATACATAATTTTACCCTTTGCACAGAACAGTGTTGTTCACTTGTTCTTTATTGCACAAATATTTTCTCCTATGCTACCACTTATGCTTGGAAAATGTTCAAGTTGATACGTGTAAATTACAAAGTCCTTTCAGCCACTCCCAAAATTCAGCACTGTGATAATGCATATTGTAAAATATAAATTGATAATAGCAGGCTGACAACTGTGCTTGTACCTTTGTGATCAACTATTACATATTTCCTGTTATATGTGTTTTGTTAGGTGTATCCATGTACAACTCCCTCCTGTTCTCCCTCTTAGTCATCTGATTTATTTATCCAGTTAATTTAGACAATGAGTCTCTCAGGTTTATCTCTACAGTCAAGGATATAAATGGATTTAGTTAGGAGTCAGGTCATACTTGTTAAGGTCAGCTTCTCCAGAAGGTCAACTGGGACAGGAACCTATATTCTCCATTCACTACAGAGGAAAACAGGGGCCTACTCAGTAATTATGATTTGTCCAGTGAACTTAGGATGCCTGAAATCATAAGATGTGAATGCATCTTACTAAATTATCTTCCTTCGCCTCTATCTTTCTTTCTTACCTTCTTCCCTCTTTTGTACATGTTTTACACCTCTTGATCCATTTTGAATCAGGGAGCTTCACTGTGTTACATTTGTACAGTGCACAGCACAATGGGAATCAGTCTGTTTGTGCTGTCACACCACCAATGCTAAATCATAAATATAGAAATCCTATATGTGTATACATTTATGTACATATATATATTAAAAATAGAGAAAAAATGGAATTAAAATTATTTAATATCTAATAAGGCTTTAATTTCTTTTAATGGAAAGAATGTAGACCTGTGTGGCCATATGAAATGTTATTCTCTGCAAGGAGACAAAATTAAGATGGACAACACAGATGTTGATATCACTGGGAACAGACTGTGGCATAACAGTCAACATTAAGACTGTCACACAGTCAGTGGATGTGGAAAAATGGGACATTTCCCTGGGGCACAATATGAATTCTGGAGTCCACTAATGTGTAGCAGTTTGCAGCATCAGTCAAGGACATTGTAACAGAGTAGAAAATTTGAGCCTGACCTACTGTTTAGTATGGACTGAAATAGTGACAAATACTACGGCATCCATCTTATACTAATATAAACCTAGTATGCCATACTGAGAAGGAATATGGTTCTGAAAACTGATGAGTGAGGCACAGGTGTGCATCCAGCTGAAATACTACTTTTACAACACCTCTACTTCTTGCCTTGTGTACTCTCTGCCTTCTCAGCTAGGAGCTCTGCAGTTTGAAATTTGCATGGCTGGTTTCCACTTCTTGCTGCTTGGACAAACACAGGTTCTGGTGGATGAGTCCATGGATGACTAACAGATTGGTCTACCCAATTGTTTTTTCTTGAAAACATTGCAAACTCTTTAGATGTTTACATCTTGGATGCAAGAACCAGATGTTTTGGAATACTAGGTCTTGTATAAACTGAAAAACCTATAGATGCCTTGCCAAACAGTTTGGTTCTTTGCTTATGAGCAATTATTCAGAGAACAGTGAGATAAATACACAAACACATAAAAGTAGAAAACAGTTTCCTTTGGGAGTGATGGATCTAGAGCCAGCTTACAGTATGGCCTGAATGGCAGGGCTGCAGTCTATGAGTCTCTGCAAGGAGAAGAGCCAAGGATCTTCCCATGAAGTAGTAACACAGCTGCCGCATACCTGGTACTGATGTTTCCAGGTAGCAATTATCACTTGTATGGTCGACATGCTTTAACATACCAAGGAGTAAGTCATGATTCCTTTAGCATTCACTTAACCCATGATCTGCAAATCCTGGCTGTCTTGCTTGTAGCTATGGAAGTGCCCCTGACACTGACTCCTCTGTGGTTATAGGATTTGATCTTTAAAGGTGGTGAAGGTGTTAAACTTTCGACATCTGGAGGAGCCAGGAATTCTTCCTAGCTCTGTTTGTAAGCAGAAGGGGACTATGCTTCACTGTCATACTGACATTCTGTGAGATCCAGGTGTCTAATGATCTGCTGTTTCCAGTTTTCTATGTAAAGGAAATGCAACTGCATGGGTTTCATGGGGTCCATAGTGCATATGATTCTATGGACAACCAGGGAATTGACAACCTGTGACACTTCAGCATGAATCTTGAAATCATCTTAGACGCAGCCTTAGGAAATGGAAGTAGGAGGCAAGCTAAGGCATAGGACCTTGCCCTTCTCAGCCTGCATGTTAACAGGCTTGTACAACCGTGCAGGATAACCAAGTGACACTCTGTGGAATTCTGTTTGGTTTCTCAAGAAAATACATCTGAAAGAATGATATAATCTTCATAATGCAGATAACTAAATTCTTCTGTTGAGGGGGAAGGCTTTTACAATGTTTATAATGCTAGAAAAATCGGCTGAATAACAGTGAGTTTTCTTGAAGCAAGGACTGCTTTTGCTGTTCTTGCCTGCCAGTTACAGTCAAAAGGGGTTCACTGGAGAAGAATGTTGGAAGCTCAAGATGTCTGTGAACTGAGTAGGCAGAAATAGGCTTAAAAGTGATTTCTGAAGGCTGTTATGGTCAAAGTCCAGTTTATGGGCAATTTCTCTATTTAATCTATCATAGAAAAGGGCACTGCCTACCTCCCTTGGCTTCCAAAGCAGTAGTGCAATGGGTCAGATCATTCACCAGGGCTGTGTGTCTCTCTGTATGAATCCATTAACACAGGTTGCCCAGAGAAGCTGTGGCTGCCCCATCCCTGTCAGTGTTCAAGGCCAGGCTGGGCAGGGCTTCGAGCAACCTGGTCTAGTGGAAGGTGTTCCTCCAGCAGAAAAAGAACGTAAAGACTTCCAGGCTGTCTATCAGCTCCAAGGTACCTGCAGTATTTTTAGGGTCAATGCTTTTTGTTTCAAGAAGGAATCCACTCTCCATCTTGTGCTGTGCTTGAGAGGTGGCATGCAGATCTTCACAAAGACCCTGACTGGCAAGACCATCACCCTGGAGATTGAGCACAGGGGAATTGGCAGCTGGGGTTGGAACCAGATGGTCTTTAAGGTCCCTTCCAACCCAAACCGTTCCATGATTAGGGACAGCAGAAATACTATTATTTCCAGCAGCTGCAGTTCTAGTCCTACATCAGGTTGTAGCCACCCTTCTGTTTTCCTAAACATATCTGTGCTGATTATCATGTACAACAGCTGGTTCCTTCCTTAATTATCAAAATGATTTTTGATTTAAACTTAAGCATTCACTCCCCTCTAAGGTGCTATACACACCTCCAGGCCTGAAACAAGGGTCTTGAAAATGTGAATAAGAGCTAGCTTTTATTTATCTCTAAGCAAAGCATTAGAGATATCCTAAACAAAAAAGATTCTTTATCGCACGGAAGATACACCAGTTGTGACAAACTAATTCCAAGTATCTTTGAATTTACTGCTCTTTTAGAGGAAGTGTTCATTTAAGCTTAATTGAAAGTAAACCAGAACTGTTCTAAAAGTCATTCAGATGCACTTATTTGCCAAGACAAATGGCTTCTTCATGTAAAACCACTCAGGTTAACAGAATCTGTCAACCCAGGAACCCACACGTCTTGAAAATAATTTTCTGAAATTATAGTCTTCCTGAGTACTCAGAAAATAACAATGCAGTTAATTTTTTTTCAGCCTGTTGCATGTTTGCAATTCATCAGATATTATCCTTGGGGCTTATGGATCTATACTACATAGATGTGGATGTTTACAGCTGGATATTCACTAATACTCTTAAAAGGATACAAAGAAATTAAATAAGTATCTCAAAAAGAGGCTGAGGAGCACTTCTAAAGAAATAAGAATATAACAAAATAAAGCTTGCAATATTTATTCAGGCAAGTCTCATTCAGCTTTAGTAGTTTTTACATTGCACTGGTATTGCTGGGCTTAAATGATTACCTGATATTACTGATACTAGATAGATATCGAACAAAAATTTATCTTAGCAGAAGGTGCTGGATTACATTCAAAGATAAAATGTGAATGGAGAATGACATTGGGAAAAACATTTTTAGGCTATATCATTTTATTGAGTTGTACTTCTAAAAACCACTGTCTAATCAAGTCTCCTTTTTTATAGGTATTGGTTTGCTTTGAAATATGGCTGTCAAGCTGCATTTAAACAAAATAGCAGTGGAGATACACCGGAAACAGACTCTCCCAGCCTCCTTCAGAAACAAGCCATTGATGTAGTGACTGATATTAACATGCTCAGGGTATTCAAGACTTTTCTTGAGACCACACCACAACTTTGTGTCCAGATTTATATCCTCATGGAACATGGCAAATGTAATTTCTCTCAATGTGAGTCTTTCTCCTTAATTTGCAAGTTGAGTATTTTACCTAAAAATCAAATCATGAGATAATTTGAGATTGGATAACATTTTAAACATGCCTTGGAAAAGATACACTCTGCTGTATGGTTACTCTGCATTTGGTTAGAATTTCTGACTAGTAGATGGTCCATTCTGTTCAATCCATGAGAAGAAAGATTTCACTATAACAAGTCACAGAATCTAATATAAACATGATACATCACTTTAAAGTAATATAACTAGTATATAATTTGCAGAACAGTTTGTTTTGTGTGCTTTTGCTTACAGTTTCTTTTAAAACTGCTAACTGAGCATCTGGGAATCAGTAATGTATTTAGAGCAGCCCTGTGAGCTGTCACTACCATCATCCATGTTACAGATGAGGGACAGTCAGAAAAAACCTAAGGATATGTCAGCATTGCAGAATGCAATATGATGAAGAGAACCATATGATGACATGGTCCAACTTTCAGAAGCAAGACAGCGAATGTACCGTTTCCAGCTCTAAAACTAGAAGAATTATTGGCAAGATACTGACTTACTTTAAATATGACCATGTGAAGGGTTGAGTCTTACGTATAGATTTCTACATTATGGACACCCTAGAGTCAGTATCAGCTGCTGAAAATCAAGTTTTTATGGACTACTTGCAATACTTTGTGATTTTCTAAGTCATCTGTGAATGGAGATGGCAAATACAATACACAATTTAGGCAATTAATTAGTGGCCAGAGGCATACCAAACAGCATTAGATGCCTAGATTTAGGTAACTAAACTAAGCCTTAAAATGAAGGTGACTTGTTCAGGAGCATAGAGGAAATATAAAATTAATATAAAGTGTTAAGAAAACATGAACTTATCCAAAAGTTCATTCAGAAATTATAACATGAAATAAGTATCTTTTTCTTTGGTCTAACATTTTTCCTTGTGTTTTGTTTAGATGTTGCCTTAATTATGTCCTTTGGTGGTATCTCCTTTTCAACAGTTGATTATCAAATATCACTACGAAAATCTCTGCCTGATAAAGATGAATTTCCTGTGCTTTCCAAGTTAACGTATCTCTTCTATAAATTGCTTACCATCACTTCGTGGATACTCAGCATTACACTGATCATGCTATTAAGTGTTAGAAGTTCTGTAATTCTGCTGATACTTCTTTGGATCTGTGGCTTCACCTGGACCTTGAAACAACGTACAACATTTTGCAAATCTAAGAAGATGGAATATCTGTACAGAGCTGTTGTTGGAATCATTCTAATTTTTACCTTTTTTAACATAAAGGGGAGAAAAACAAAAGTCTGCATTTCTATTTATTATGCTACTCACACTGTTGTAACTCTGGGTATTTTGTTTGTATATATGTTCTGGAAACCTTCCATTATCAAGGAAATAAGTTTTACAGTTGTGAGCATCCTAACTATTCTTAGCCTGGCATTAGGTATTATTTTTCTTGTTGTTTATTATAGGCATTTTCATCCCACTGCTTATTGCAGACCACATGCATGTTCAGATGAAGTTGATGGAGAGGCAGGACAAAAGGATAGAGTGAAAATCTGTAGATTTCAAAATTTCATAATGCAGTGAACAATGTAGATTTTTTTTATGTGGACTTTTGTGCGGACTTCAAAGCAAATACTCGCTGGACAGCTTGTTCCTCTGTCATTGTTTCTCATGTATTGTCATTGAGTAGTACATAATGGACCAGAGTTACTTGCTCTGAATAACTATTGTTTTCAGTGACGCTGTACCAAGCCTTTATAACATGAATATTTCTCTATGTTCTGGTCAAGCTAACTTTTCAAAAAGAAGTAATTTAATCCATCCAACACAATCCACTGTTTCCATTTTTAGCAATGCAAATAAAACATGGGGAAAGCTAAAAGTTAATCAAATGAAAGCTAGCATTAAAACAATATTCTATTCATTTATGTTGGCTCTGTTAAAAACAAAGCTTGTTTTTCTTTTCTTGCTGGAAGGAAAGGAGTGCATTTGAAATAATAGAGGGTGGTGATCAGTTATCTGCTTTTCCCCATTAGCGTAAGAGCTGCAGTTCTTTAAATAAGGATTGTTACAAATTGTTTGGCCTTCTCTCTAAATATCCCCTGAAGAAGAATAGCTTTGATTTATGGCTGCAATCACTGTCTTGCCACAAGAAAATGTGGGGAGATATTTTCAAGCATTTTATCTTCTAGGTGTTTTAACGACCCCTTTATTGGTTTTGTTCTGCTAATCTTTCTCACAACCTTCTGTGTTTAGGGGTGATGCCAGCTTGTTCTTCTGGATTATAATAGCAGCCTGAGTGATTTATGGATAACAACAGGAGTCTTGCTTATAAAGGAAGAAGTGTCTTCCTTGAAGCTTTCCTCTCTTTTGAGCTCTAAGATATAATACTTTAAATGCTGGTTTCAGCTGAAATAGGAGGCTATGCAAGGTATTCAGTGGTGAAGTGTCTTTGTTGCCATAGAAAAGAGAAGCAACTGTCCTGATGCATTGCACTCACAGGGGCTGGGAAACGATGGAATAATCAGCTTGTCCCTCAAGATTTTTTGGCAGAAGGCAGAGTGAAATTAGACAATATTTCAGTCCATGTTCAAATGCTAAGCTAATAACAAAGAGAATCAGGTTGATAGCTGCAGCTTCTTCAGAAATAAATCTAAGGCTAAGTCTTTCAGAGCTGCTGCATCTTAAATCAGAATTATGAAAATTGGGGCTCTTTCCCCCCCTTCTCCCTTCCGGTAATTCACACGTGCAGTTAGAGTAGCCACAGGCAAAGGGAGGAAACAGGGCTTGAGAAAAGAGACTAGAGATAAGAAAAACTGATAAACTTTGCTGTCAACCAAATCTGTTAGCATTATTGGTTGACAGCAAACTTCCATGAAACTTTGAGGAAGGACTGATGCTTTGGTTGATAACTAGGGTGTTGAAGAGCTGTGTCTTGAGCCTTTTTGTCAAGTCCATGGACTGCAGACTGCCTTTTTCTTGTTATCCCTCCAGCATTAGCACAGCTTGGGGAAGTTTCTAAATGTGTTTCTTTCCTGTTCCATTTCCATAGTTCTCTCAACCACTCTCAACCACTTACATCTTCCTAATCCTGTTCAAGCAAATTTATTTCTCGGACTGAATGGTCAGCCTTTTTGAGGATATACATGAAAAAGAAGTGTAGTAAGAAGGGTTTATTTCTAAAATTTCTCATTTCTACTTACGGGGAACTAGAACATGGGTCCAGACGTTAAGAGATAAAAAAGCACAACCCATGAAATTTAAGCAACAGTTTTCCTAATATGAATATATAAACCAGTACCTTCACTTCTCTACTCTGGGATTTGTTTGCCCTGAAATGGCTGCTTAAGTAAGAGAAAAAGCCTACGGCTCCATCCTGCTTCATGCATCATGGTTGCCCTAAATTGTCTCCTTTATCTAAAGAACGGTGATAGTGCTGTTGGCAGCAAAATCCATGCCTGCTTTTAATCTGAATGTACTCTTATTTTGCTATGAAAAAATAGGATCCTAAATAATTCTATATTTTTTCCCACACTTACTGTTTGTCCATCTGAAATCCTGAGAAGGGACTAGAGTAAGGTACAGTGGAAAAGGGAGAATATTATGTCTATCTTGCAGAAAATGACAAAAATTTGTCTAACTATTACTTGGAAGAAGAACTCAAACTTCATACGTTATCTGAGAAGCAGATCTCTGGGGAAATATGAGCTTCTGAGAAGTGCTAATGTGGGAGTTTCAGCCCTGGGGCCTCTACGTTGCCTGCCTGCTGCCAGATGCCAGAAATTGGGAGCCTGATTTGCTCTGGATGAAGGTTACTTCTGGTGAAACAAAAAAATATATCATGGTGATCTTTTTTTTTTTTTTCTTTTCAGTGAACTGATGTTACCATATAAAAGTATTTCATTGCCATCTCTCTGGCCAACATCTAACACTCATTTTCTTTAATGGGATAAAAGTTGAATATTGTGCTGCTTTCTGTTGCTCTCCTTATATCTCCTCGTTCCCTCTTCTGTGCCATTGAGAAGAATGTTATACTGAAGTTGAGAAGGCATCTAGGTAGCGATTTATATCACACAGTTTCCTGTACACACAAAATACAATTACTTAAGTTTTGATCCCTATTTTATGCTTCTAAGTCCTAGTGGGTGTATTAAATTCAGCTCAGCCATATCCTAAAACTGGGAAACACGTCTTTGGTGTCCTGCCACAGATACTGTGAACATCTCCATTTTGCTTTCATAAGCCAGAGGGCCTCAAGAGAGTGGAATTCCTGTTAGCTTGTCCCCTGTAGACTTATTTGTTTGCTGACAGCTTTAATCTCCTTCCTTTCTTCTTGACCTTGAGTTCAAGATTTTCACTTTGTTTCTCTTCATAGTTATGAAAATAGATTTTCAAGATTTTCACTTTGATTCTCTTCATTTTCATAGTTATGAAAATGACTTCTCATTAATTTGGTCATTCTAACTCGGAGTCACGGTAGCAAGGAGAACAAGGAAGCACATGAATTGACTCTAGACATATTTCATATCATCAGTGAGCACTTCAGACAAAACAAAGCCCTGCTTCACCTAGGTGTAAAATGCAAACAATAAACTTCATACATATATTTTCTGTTCCCTGACTACTCTTAAAATTCAGCTGCCATTCAGTTCATGCATTGTGCCTGACCTTGTCATTTTAACCTAACTGCAAATTGAAAACAAATGTGTTTTTTTCTTTTTTGTGAAGTATGTCCATTACATCTTACAAGAAGTATTTTAATAAATTAAATAAAAATAATAAACAATTTCTTCCTGTTTTGACTACTGTCAGACCTGGGTAAGAGGGACAACATTCAACAGAATTGTTTTAATTATCCTACTAATATTCAATGTGCCATTTGATGGCATGGGTGAGCTCACCTGATGTACCACAGATAGCACTGATTTATGAAGCCATAATTGGGTTTCCAATAAACATTTGTCAAAATAATGTATTCATTCAAACCAAAGCCTTCTTTATTTATTCATATAAAAGAGCACTTAACTTTCAACAAAGAATTGCTTGCCATCAAAAACACTCCATAAACAGGGGAAATTTATGAAGACACAGTACCAGAGGGTGAATGGTGGAAGACTAAAGTTCACTTTAACCCTTTAGAGTTCTGAGTTCCACCTCTTGCTTGTTAATGGTACTATACATATTTCTTTCTAAAAGCCCCAAGCACAAACATTAACCTTTGTATATTTAGACATTAAAGTATCAGCTCTTTTTTCTACCATAGTCTTACATGGTTTCAAAACTGATATCTCTCATTTTTATTATGCAGTGTAGAAGCATGAGCACAGCTCAAAGGTAGCTGTTTTTATCTACCTACATTCTGCCCACTGTTTTCATCATATGCATATTCTTCTGAAAAAAGGTAAGTTTTGAGAGATTAAACAATTTGTCTTCTCTGAACCTGAGGTAATACATGTACTTGTCATTCATTCCATCCTCAGAATGTTCTACCTCTTCGTCCTCTTCTCTACTTGCCAGCACTTCAGTTTCATTTTACAGATTTTTGATAGAAGAATATCAAAGTAGATGGGATGTACAATCAATGTTTGGATGGAGTGCAGATAACCCCTTTGAACCCACTTTCATCAAAATTTTTTCTTCTTTTCCCTCCAACTAGCTGACATATAACAAATACAAATCATACTGAAGATTCCCACTATGCAAGTCTTACATTCATTAGCTTAGTAAAATGTAGACCTTGGTGGGAATGAGAGTGATGCCTCAAGCTTACCTTAGCCTGCTAACAGTTGCTGAAGCTACAAACTGCACTGGCCTTCCTAGGACTGTAGGTTTGTTTCCAATTATGTTTCTATTTTTGGCATGCCATTTTTATTTCTGACAGTGAACATACCTGTAAATAGCAGAGCAGAATGACAAAGGATAGGAATGGTTTCAAATGCACATTCATGAATCAGAAACTAATGTGATTTTGCTAATCTCCATACAAAATCTTCGTCATCATTATCATTGTTGTTACTACTACTGGCACTTTGTCAAGGTGTCTAGGATGATAATACTTAGAAGAACATATATCTGTTGCAAATACAATGCAGCAAGAAGTTAGTAGTAAAGTTGTGTCATGCCTTATCTGCTCAGAACTTGTAAATGATCCTAAATCTCTCTGATTAAGCACAGGTAATTTTTAATGGGAACCTACAAACATATTGGAAAAGAGATGGTTACCAATTTTGTTCTGTGTGGAGTAGGTTAGCTGCTGAAAACCAAGGGCTAAATGTTCCTGGAGACAGTGGGAGCTGGTGTTTATCAGCCATTTTCCACATAACTTACTCCATATGTTTGGTCAAACTTGAAGGGTGTTAAACTGTAGTAGAGCAGAAAGGGACCTCAGACATAATTTTGTAGGTTGTCCTAGAGCAGGACCTCTGTGCTTGTGCCATTCCTGGCAGAAGTTTTCTAACTGGTTCTGAAAAACGCAATGTCCCAGGTAATCTTCCCCTAGACCTAGAGTCTTGTCAGTCAGAAACCTCCTATGTCCAGCCTCTTTATTGCAGTCTGAGCCCCTTGTTGTCCTCCCTGCCTAGCAG